AATCCACCAGCAGCTTTGGTTTCTTCATCTTCCCACAGCTAGGAAACAGACTCTCGGTGTGTCCCGAGGTGGGGATCATTTCTGACTTGATTCTTTTGCCTTCTTACCAATGCATATGGCAATGAACGTGAAGGCACTTTAATAACTGTTACGCTTTATGCTTATCGCCCTAGTAACCATGTACCTGGAGCACCGGTCATATTGTTATAAATTAGTTCTAAATTAAATGACCGCGTTGCCATGCTGTTCTGTATGCGTCATTGCCCCCACCCCAGTAACCTGTTTGCTGTATCAACTTTTGTTCCCCTTGTAAGAGACCAATGATGCTGTGTCAACCATTGTTCCCTTTATGAGACACAAATGTTCCTGGAATTAGCAGAACAAGGGCTATGAATTGGCTAACCACCCACTGTGAAATGCCTCTGACCTCCAGCAAAGGGGAACAAAGGCCCACCTTGTTTCTGTTTCTCAGTGCTACGTACTTAATGATCAATGAACTATAAAAATCAGTCAAATTCTAACTCAGTTGCACAGCTTTGCTAATTCCATCTGCACTATGTCACTGGGCCAGCTAAAATAAAAGCGCTTCTTTTAAAAGGACGCAGTCATCTTACCCCGTTTTTCATCTCGGGGGTCTTGCCCCGTTTTTCATCATGGGGCCTTGTTTTTTGGGGGGTTACAACAATAACTACCAAATATAATAAAAATGTCAGTATTACTGACACCACCTCTGCTTACCACCACCAGTGCGATCACCACCATAACTGCCTTTTATTCAAAGCAGACCATCTGTTCTCCCTCATTGCCTGAGAGCAAGGAGCAGCTTTTTAAAACTTCAGTTCTGACCTCTGGAAGTTTGACCTCTACACTCTGCACCGTGGTCGGTCCTAACCTGGAACAAGACTCTGCCATGAAGGAAATTCCTCCCCACCCCCGCCACCACTGCTGCAGGCCTTGGCCCACTGAGCACAGTCTAGAGCAGAGCTCACACTTCCCAGTGCAGACTTCTCCATCAGCGGGAATCCACGCAGCCTGCAAAGTTCTCCTACACATAGAGGCTCTAAGGGTGCTGCTAATAACCATCAAACCTCCTGTGTTTTATTTATTATGAGAGTTATGAAATGAGAAGTTCAAATAGGGCCAGAGCAGGTTCCGCAGGGAAGGAAGAAAGAACCTAGAAGCCTTTCAATGACCTAACCACAGCCTAAATTAGTGAAATAAAAGGAATTTTAAGTTTTCTCAAGTTTCAAGTCCAGTTTAATCACAGGAGTCTGGCTCCAATCAGCGACAGAGTATGTTTATTTCCAAACTCCTGTTGGAAAAAAGAAAGGTCTGGAATCATTTTGATGAGAGAGAATGAAATCCCACTACCCAGGGGCTTTGATTTGCAACCTGTTTATCGATATTCCTTCTAAAATAATCTCTACTCAGAAGCCACTATCGATTTCCTATTTGGACTCTCTTTCAAATCCCTGTGTGTTCTCTTTGATATCAGCCTTGTTTCTCCCTGCCCATACGCATTACGTAAACCCTAAAGGCTTCTATGTAGGAAGCAGTTAGGAAGGGTTTCCTTCTGTATTCATATCATCAATGAATATTAATAAAGTAATTCTTTCCTTTAGAAAGTTTCTTTTTGGCCAGTGGTATTGCATTTATTGAGGTGGGGTTCTTAACATTTTGATTTCATGTATGAGTGTTTTGGGGAGCAATTCCACAAATTTTCTGATATTGTATGCCTAATTTTAACTCTTAAGTATGGTTTTCTTAGGAGAATTTCCTCAACTTTCATCGAATTCTGAAAGAATTCATGTTCATAAATGTAAAAAAATCACTGGTTTAGAGAATGAATGTGTAGCTGTGGATCTTTTAAAATTGAAATTCTCTTATATTTTCTTATTATGAATGTATAAGATGCACATGATAAGAAACGTTTTAAAGAATAAAATGTATTTTAAGTGTTAAAAATATCATGCACAATCTTCTTTATTACAGAGACCATATGCAATTAAGTATATTTTCAACATGTCAAGAAAGACACGTTCTGATTTATTTAAATAATCTTTTTGACAGCGCATATGGTATTGCAAAAAGAGTCCTCTGAAGATCCTGTCGTGATTTCCGTTTTAACACCAACTAATTAACTTATTTGGCCTTATGCAAATTCACCTTAGCCCTCAGAGCTTTCTTGGTTCATGTGGAAACTGTCTCTGCCATTACCTGAGATGCAGATTTCAGTTCGGGATCCCATGGGCCTACACCAGCACCAGCAAGTAATCGAGTGCCAACTCGATAATCTGCTAACTACCATCAGGTGCTTATTGACTAAGCATTGTCCACACTCCGTTATCCCAGCATTTCTGAATTTGTATGACTATGGTCACATTTTTCACTCAATTTTTCCATGAGTTGAAATAAGATAGGTGTCATTATAATCATCTTTAATCTAATTAGGCATTTGCTTGAGGAATTTGATGCCTTGCTTGTCAAAAACTTTTTGAAAAGTAGCTGTCATTACAGGGCTAAGAGAAAGATACGAAGGACAGTACCTTTAAACACTTCAGTTTAAACCATCTGTAAACTGGCAACACACTATTGATACCGCATATACATCTAATGCTGTCACCTTTACTTAACCACATCCAAACTCTTGGGAATAAAACATAAAACCTGCCACTTTTGTATGCCTTAAACTGATTTCACATAACATTTTAGTGAGACCAGCATGACACAAAAATATACAAAAATAGGGTCTTCGAAGATAGATTTATGTCCCAATTTGCCTCTTTCTCTGGCTTTGTAGTTCAGTCCTGCAGGTTGGTCTTTCTGAGATTCAATTTTTCCCTTTAGAAATATAGTAGGCAGACAATCAATATTAAACATTAATTTATCAACCTCAGAATTCTGTCCACTATTATGGGAAAATAGATTATATAAAATATAATGAAAAGTATATATGAGAATAAATTATATAGTATATGAAATACAACGTATGTATATATATGTATGTATGTATATACATATACAAAATGAAAATTACTTCTCCCTAAGAAAAGTAAAAAATAAAATGAGATTCTCCAGCTGAGTTTTGTTGGGTCTTTAAGAGTTGGCACCATGGGTGGTACATAGGAAGCCCTCATGAGAAATCTGTTAACTAGTTAACAGTTAACTAGTTAATTACTACAGTATCATATAAGTCACACTGACTTTGCACTTTTAAATTCTACTTCCCTTACCGTTTGGTGGATTTGCTGTGTATGGAACTGCTGCTCCCTACACGCTATGAACAGCTCAAAACTGCTTACTACCCGGGGGAGGTGGAAGGACGTCCCATCCACCTCACAGCGCTCACCGCCTCCCCATTAAACCAAGGCTTGCTTTGCTCTTCGGGTTCCTGAATCTAACCCTGCTGCTTATATCACAACCAACACTGTGGTACCGATCCTGTAACACTTTATAATCATGGCGAACCTGACAGTTCATGGAACAAGCATATATGAATACTTACCAAGCAAGCGTTAACGTGTACTTTTTAACTGTAAATTGACAAAGCACTTCTGATGTGTAAGGTGAGACATACTTCAGTGTATCAGTATTTTCAGTGAACTGGCTATGCATATACTTATCCATTTTAACGCCTGTGCTCTTGTTATGCATTTGTCACATTGGTTTATTCCGAACGGGGGAAGATGTGATTATGAGTACCCATGCATGCCTCAGAGGAGCACAAGCTGGTTTGCACGCTGCTATCCAGAAAGCCAAGATCTGGCTGCTTCTCTTGCTAAGCTCTCTGGTTTCAGACAGGTACCTTTTTGTTCTGCTTGTTTAACTGTCACCAGCCCCAGCCTCCAAAGACTCTCTCCTGTGTTCTTTCCATATTGTAGTCACCAGAGCATGCATCAATGCACAGAGAACATTTTAAATTTAAAAAATAAACTGCAAAGACCAGTGTCAAATTGTTATATGAGTGCTCATCTGGTTCATTATAAGTGGTATTTATATTTTCAAGCTTAAATGAAGCTGCACATCTCACTGGTCACCAAATATCTAAAGGTGAGAGCCACAAATACCAAGAGACTCCATGAACTTTGTTCTAAGATTCAGATGTGTTTTCAAGGCAAACTATGAATTTTAAACCCCTTATTTGTGTGTCATAAAACCTGGAAAATGGATCATTCAAAGGCAGGCTTGGAGATGTTTTTGTTGTAATAAAAAGTTATTTTAGTTTTTTTTAAAATGAAAACAAAAGACTTGTTTTTTGATGTTCACTTGGTCTTTGTAGCCAGTGTTTATACAGTGTATAAAGAGTTTGTAAACCAAAGAGCAAGTAGAGGAAATCAACAGGCTACATTCAAAAATTACATGTGGACCTGGTTTACCTGGCAAAAACACTTTCTAATGAGATCCAGTTTACAATTTTCAGTGCCTTACATGTGTGCACTACTGTACAACGTTCAGCATACTTCTGTGCAGTTCATTTCAACTGATTGTTATTTCCTATTTTTCCTGTACTTGACAAATAATAAAACCAAGACTCAGAAACCTTAAAGAATTAACATATGCCATGCATAATACAAATAATATTATAATAAACTATCGCAGTTACTGTATTTAAGCACCATGATGAGAACTTTCAATCTCCTGTCCCATTTAACCTTCACATCAGCCATCAGAGGCAGACAGACATGTATCGTTATTATATTTCTTCCCATTTTACAAATGTTCAACTAATAAAGTCTGAGGGATTTTAACCCAGGCATTGTGATTCCAGATCCCTCACCTATTTCTAATGAGTGCTGTCTATTCTACACCACAGACCATGTTTATGAAGATTCTTTTCCTTTTTCTTCTCTTACCTCACCAGCATTCTCTTCCCTCTTGCCATTAACTTTGAAGGGAAGAACCCAAAGCACAACCCTAGAGCTGGAGTCAAGCTTAGGGTTCCGTGCCAACCTCCACCGATAGTATGGAAGGGGGATGGGCAAATCCTTCCACCCACTCACCAGATCCAAGGCGGCCGCCAGGATGGAGGCGTCGGGTATAGTTCCCGGCTCACAGCAGTTCAACAGAAACTGAAAGCGCTTCATGCCTTGCCGGATGGCACCAAGATTCACCACGTTTTTGCTTTTTCCACCATCTTGGTTGGGAGAAAGATGGTCGTCGAAACTGTGGCAACCTGCAGCAGTTGTGCCATTGTGGAGGAATGAAAGAGAGAAGGAAACAGGTCACAGATTCGAAAAGAGTTTCAAAGATCTCCAAGAATGTGTTCTTGGCACGTTCAAGGGTTAGCATGAAAACTTTCTTCCCCATACTTCTTTCCCCCTCTCCTCTCCACTTTCCAAAGGCTTGATTTGAGCTCATCCTGACTTTTAGGATCCTCTGTCACATGGCACAGGAAGATGTAGAGCTGACTTAACTACTTGCACGCAGGGTCTGGCCACTTTGGGGCCAGGCCTCGCCAATAGTGGCCTGAGCTCTGGGTAGACTCAGAATGACTCTTCCTGCGGTGAACACCTAGCTTCTGTTGCAATGGAAGACAAGATCATTACAATTTAAGTTCTGTTTCAAGAAATTCATAACAAGGACAGAATTATGGAGAAAACAGTAATGTCTTTTCAGTTACAATGCACAGAATCACTGACTATTGGAGTTGTGGAAGACATCAGGGATTGGTTGTTTAATTCTAGGATTTTTGTAGTTCTAGGATTTGCAGAATTATGTAAGGAATTCCTCAATCCTACCTCATCCAGAAGAAACAGAATTTCTGGAGGGGATGGGTAAGAATGTGTACTGGCAGAGCCTCCGGGCACCCTAACCTTGCTCTGTGGGTGCAGATTTGGGATTCTCTGGCCCCTTTCCCTCTCTCTCAGGTAAACTACTTTTTTTTTTTTTGTCTTTTTCGTTTTTACTGGTACCAGGGATCGAACTCACGACTGCCTGCTTGCAAGGCAGGCACTTATGCCGCTGAGCTAAATCCCCAGCCCCTTCAGGTAAACTACTTATGAATGAGACTCATTCTGGAGCAAACTAAAATGTGGAACATCGACTCCTAGAACTAGAAATTTTGATTCCACTGGCCTAAGGGCTATCCATATGTATTTTTAACATATGCTACATGATCTTAATGCAGAGTCTGAGACAGAAAAATATAGAAGATTGAGTTTTGTTACCTTTTTAGTTCCCAGGTACATTTCCTAAAAATTTAAATATTTCGTGATTTTTTTCTGTAGATTTTATTATATACCTGCCTTTCATTTTATTTTTTTTTCCACCTTTCTTTTTTGAGACATGGTCTTGCTATGTTTCCCAGCTGGTCTTGTGATCCTGAATTCAAGTACTAAATTAAAATAGTTCTCCAGTCTTAACCTCCCAAATGCTGAATTTACAGGTGCATGCAACATATCCAGCTTTATTTTAAATACAAAGTTATAATACTTAATATAGTTTTAAAATAGGGCCCATGCCCATTCTCATAATTCTAAAATGTTCCTATGATGTTCAAGGATATATATCTCCAGGATGTGATTCACCGACTTAGCACTTAGCTTAACTGGCACTGCTGCCCTTCATTTGAGATGCTGTCACCGCCTAGTCCTCACTGAAAAGTCACAGAGCTGATTTCCAGAAATAACTTTCTTACCTCTTTTGTCAAGAATGTGCTTCCCACCCCATTGCCCTTCTCCTTCTCTTCTCCTTCTTCTTTTTGTCTTTCTGAGACAGAGTCTCACTGTGCAGTTCAGGCTGGCCTTGAGCTCATTTTGTAGCCCAGGTTGACCTGCAACTCACAGCACTCCTCCTGCCTCAGCCTCCCAGGTGCTGGGATTATAGGCATGTGCCTGGCTCATCAGTCTACTTCTGCACCTGCCCCCGCAGTCGATGCTCTCAACTGAAGAGTTCCAACACAACTATGTGTCATCATTGGTGGTCACAGAATGGTGAAGGATTTCTGCCCACTGATAAACACGAATGTTGGCAAATTTACTTTCAAAAATCAAATCCCCAGGGAGGTTACCTCCTAATAACTTGTGCTTATATGAGCATAGTCAAGAAGGGCCTTCATTAATAGGCCCAGGTATACCCAAACAATGTGACACATGCAGGGTACCAGCCACTAGATCCAGTGGTTGATAAGGTAAGCACCTACTCTCCTGGGACTCACATCCCTTAGGAACATTTCAAACCTAGCACTCAGAATCCTTTGTACTTTATTACTTCCAGATAAGAAAAGTGCGACATGGTTTAAAAATAATCACTAAATTCCTAGCCTACCTACCACCTTCAAAATCATACTGAAGTACAGAGATGCAGCTCTCAAGGACAGCACATGTCTGAGAGGCGCCTTGCTGTGACTGTCATTGTGTGAATGTTGCAGAGAGCATTTCAGAGACTCAGGTGGACACAGGGTCAACGGGCAGCAGATTCCAATGGGCCAGAGCAGGATAAGCAGCCTGACACTGACGGAAACATTGGTATGTTTTGTGTGAAAAACCCTACATAAGATAGATGATGCAAACATGGTAAAATTTTGTTCAGTACTGCAAATCAGCAGTGGATACTTAAGGTCTACTGGATCTCTACATTTATTTTTTGTGTATGTTTAAAATTTTTCATTAGCACAAAGTGCCTCACAATGTAATTCAGATATCATTATTAAAATTTTCTATATTTCATTCTTTATGGTTATTTCATTTCAGATTCAAATACGCCATATTTGAAAATCTCAACATCAGTTTTTTAAAAAGTTAGTAGACTATATTTTGTACCAAATGCAAAAGGAAAACCATGAGCAAAGTATGATAGCAGGAAATTCACAAGACAGGGCATCAAATGATACATGGAAGGAAAACTGCAGACGTGTAACAAATATTCCCAAGGCAGCTTTGTTTTGAGATTGCTCCTTTTCAAAATACTGCGCTATTCAATTGAATAGAGCTGTTAGAGCAGGCAACTTCCTGTGATGTTTCGTGGCTAAATGTCATTTTGTTACTCATTTATACACACCTCTTTAATAGCTACCTGAATCAAAGGATTCTCATTTGTTGAAGGTGCTTAACAATCCTTGTACTGAATCAATCACAAAGAATAGAGTTTTTCTTCTGAGTAGTTTTATAAACTGTTACTATAGTTAACATTTATGATATGCTAGGAGTAACTGTAATAAGCATGATACAGAGGATGTGTGTTCAATGAAGTTATTCTTACTTGTAGAATTTATTAAGAAAAATTGCCACTATTTCATTAAGGCATTAAGAATAAGATTTTTGTCATTTTACTTGACAAGATGATGCATGGACATTATTTATTCCCATAGATCAGGAAGGAAGAAAGGAAAGGAGGGAGGGGGGAGGAGAGGGAGAGAGGAAGGAACCAACAGACGACGCTATAAGGAGGAGGGAGAGGAGAAGGCAGGCTGGAAGGGCAGACTCAGAGAAAGATGTTCACATGGGCAAGGGCTGCAGTTACTGTAAAACGTCCTTAGATTAGCAGATAACGTCTCGGTTCACTTAGAGCATCTAGAGCTGCCTATTTCACTGAAGTAAGTCTGGAGGAATTGTCTCACAGCATCCAGTTCGCACCTCCAGCCACGGAAGATGCTTAAGGCTGCACACTAATAGGTCTGATGTCTTCCTTGGCCAAACAGGAAGGAATATTTTTAAAAGACATTGTAATTCATACAGAAAATATCATGCTGAACTAAGCAACATTCCACCTTTTGATAGAATTACAAAGATAACAGCAAAGTTTTTTTGGTAAAGTCTGATGATGTTTTTGCGGGGAGACAGAAAGCTATATATGAAGTACTTGTAAAGTAAGTACATGAACACAAGTATGGATCACTGAAAAAGTGTATCCACGACTGTTGATAACCAAAGTCAGTTCGAAGGGTCACAGCAATTATAACTTTGTATTTTCCCCCTCAATTATAATACGAACAACTTGAAGAAAACATGGAAATGTGTGTGTCTCTGCAGATGGATCTTTGCCGTACAATTGTAAAGAAAAAAATATTTTTAATACAAGTTAGTTTGGATGGTGTCTTTTAATTTCCTTCCCGGGGAAGTGACCTAACTACTCCCTGCTAACAAAATAATACATTTTAATTATTTATGAGCTAAAGAAGTAAGAGTGGCTACATCAAAGTACATGATGGTACTCAGTCCTGTGAAACAAAACTGGAAAAAGCTAGTTCATATGAACCAACGATAGGATGTGACAATAGGTCATGAAATTTTAAATTGTGTTCATGTACTTAATGGCCACTGGCTTCTACCTAGTGCATAGTTAGTTTCAAATACAGTGCTCTGCATTTTACCTGAAGCTCCATATTGTGAAGAACACATTACCTAATTAGAATACACAGAAAACAGGATGCAGGGTGGGAGGAGGAACTACAGACACTGCTACAGAAGGAAAAAGAAAGAAACGAAAGATGCCCAGGAAAAACAGATCAATAGACAGAACCGGAAATGGATAAGTGGAAGAGAGAGAGAGAGTGTGTGTGTGTGTGTGTGTGTGTGTGTGTGTGTGTTTCTATGTATGTTGTGATAGACATCAAAATTAGGACAAACCGATCAAATCTATGGAGAAGATTTCCTAACAAAGCCATGTAGCACTGGAACAAGCTGCTTTCTGAAATAATAAACTCCCCCTCAGTGAAAGAGTACAGCGGGCTGCTGGCCACCTGGCAGGGATGTAATGAACAGAATTCCGGGGAGATATGTGGGTGGACAAAGATCCTGTACTGTTCAGATTTTAATAACAGACAGAGCAGAAGAACCTGTCTTCCACTTCACAAATCTATCACCCCGCAGGGAGTGAGGACCTGTGAGACCTCCATAAACATCACTTTAACCAAGTCGAGGATTTGTAAGAGATATGCATGAGGAACGAATGAATGAGAAGTCAACGGAAATGGGAAAAGAGCATTTAAGAATATAAAGAGTTTGTGAAATTTAATGGACCATTTAGTCTAAACACGTTTTTGTTCTGTGTGATCAAAGTTGGAGAGAACCACAGGCCGCATGACATTTACCAAGACGCTTGAAGAAATTCTCCTCCTCTTCCCTTCCATTTTCCATTCCACTCCCGGGTCCGCCTTCGGAAAGCTTCACAGCGCTGGTAAACTTGACCTGAGAAGGAAAGGAAAGGAGTTAGGGGTCACGTTCAAAGGCACGTCTTTGGGTTAAGCTCTTGATTTGAACAAAATGTTAGCATACGAACATTACTTCATTGACTTCAATGGCTAGATAGTTTTATCAATGTAGTTCATTCCTATGCGCTAAAAAAAAAAAATCTCTGTAATTAGCTGGAGGACCAGGTTCAGAGACTGACAGCAGAGAATCAGGCTCTACAGAGGTGATTCACCACTGAGACATTCTTAGAGTTTAATTCCCATGAAGTCTAAGATTGTACATTTATATAAATGCCCCTTGTTTTTTATTTTTTCCCTTCCTGTGATGGTCTGTCACTTAAACATGTTAATTCTTATTGCTTCTCTAAGTTTCCAAAGTCTGTTCAACTCAAGAGTTTCTTTAGCTCTCCCCTACAGGTGTTCAGCGTTTCTCAGCACTGACATTCTTCTAGCAGTGACCCTCACCTTGGAACTTTGCCTGATGAAGGACAAGCGGTCCACAGAGCTGATGTCCAGAAGGTCCTCCACACCATCTGCCAGGCCAGAGAGGGACGATCGTTTCAGCCAGTTTCCTGTTTAACAATTTGAGAATCAGACAGTTAGAACCTTTGCTCTCAAATGGATGAAACAGAGATGCCACCATGGACTGAGAATCAATGAATGTTACATGGCTTTGCTGGGAAGAGAACCAAAAGCAAATTGTTTTTGGTGTACATATTTTGAAACAAGATATTCAGGATTAGACTACAAAATTACATGAATGGAAATGACCAGGATAAAAAGAATCTGGTCTTCTCTAGTGAATGACGGCATAATCCATCTGCTTGTGCTGAAAAACCTTCCTGACCTGGTTGGTCCTGCATGCCCTGGCCCTGCCACACTGTACCCCAGTGATGTACCCACTCTTCCTCTTGTCTCCTTCGTCTTACTACCTTTGTATATGATGCTACCTGAAGTGCCTTCCTTCTTTCTTTTTAGTCTCCTGCCAATGATCTTAATGTCCCCCCCCCCCGCCGTCCAAGAAAAATTCCCTGATTTCTGTTTCCTCCGTCCCTTTAGGTCACATTTTAGTATTATATACTTATGCAGCACTGTGCATGGTACTTTGGTAAAATTCATAGTTTGTGACTAAGTTGTTTGATTATCTGCTTTAGTGACTGTGGTTTCAAGTACACTGCAAGCTCAGCAAAGTTAGGGGGCTGTGTGTTTTGCTCTCAATTTAATCTCTGACGCCTCGCATAGTGTTTGCATGCTATAGAGGCACACAGTAGGATTTAAGAAATCTCTGCAGGCAGGAATGATGGATGGATGGATGGATGGATGGGTGGATGGAGCAGTAAGCCTAGGCCTTATGACTTGACAGCTTGCTTTCTCCATAACCCTACCATGCACTGCTCTGCTTTGATCGTGAGTTGATTTGAGGACATGGCAGGTAATGGAGAATTCATAAATAAATACAGACATACTTTTACCTATGGGGAGCTTGAGCTTCTTCCGGAGGGAAATTCTGCGGGACCGGGAGCGGGCGCGCCGGTCCAAGGTATTCCCTGAGTGGGCTGTGGTGCACTCGGAAGTGTCCTGCTCTGACTGGCTGCTGGTGTCACTTGCTGCACTCTGCGATTTGAACATCTTGCGCCAGAAATCTTTTCGCCCCAGGTTGGCCCCTTGCATTTGTTCGTCACTGTGATCAAGCAGAAAATAGGATGAACTATTTGACAGCAGATGGGAAAATCTATTACACGTCCCTCAACCTCCTGCCAGAGTTATTTACACAGATCACAGAGAACAATCTTCTGGAGCCCACTCTGGAAGGGTGGGTGGCAGAGGAGGAGGAGGGAGACTGAGGTTGACTCTGAACTTTTCCTGAGAACAGTCCTGTCTCAGCTATCAAATGGCGCTGACTGCTTCTCTCAATTGTAATGAAAACACTACCATCGCAGGATTTCCCTGCAGGTGTGAGTCATAACAGAAACACTTAGCACTGTCAAGGAGTATTTAACTTCTTTCAAAGCTCTGTGGGGCTTGCACTGTATATTCCTCAGTTCCCGCTCCTCACCCCAGTGGTAAGATACTGGGCACTAAATAACATCATGAGAAGTTTTTAAATGAATGAAATGTGATCTTTATACCTAGGAACTACATCCTCATTAAAGTCAGTGAGTCAAAGAATCTTGCATGGAGTTTCAAAATGCAACACAGGTCCAACGCAACAGGACAAACAAGAGTAGCCACAGGGGAATAAGCGGCCAGGGTGTTCCAGGAAAGGAAATAGACGAATGGCCAACACCACACAGAGTTGAATCTCACCACAAACAACAACGATAAATTGGCTAAAATAAAACTATAATTTTCACTCACTGAACTGACGTAGATCAAGGGAGGGGGAAAGCAGTGGTTACTATCATACTGCCAGTGCTGAGACAAAAATGGCTCAGTCTTTCTGGAAAGTAAGTTAGTAATATGTTTTTCAAAGTCTGTATCAACACTCTGACAAGTAATTCAATTTCCAGGAAGTAATCTCAGAAAATGTTGGGACCATGAACTAAGAAGTACATAAAAGGAGGTTTTACCGGTCAACTTTGAAACAGTAGAAACAACCTAAACGTTTAGCTCCAGGGAACTAGCTGAAGCTTTTCTCATCATGAATCCATGATATGAATGGAAAATATCCAAAGAGGCTCAACTTTATCAACCTTTTCAATCAAATGCTACATCGGCTTTGCTCAAAGGGTGTCGGGGAAATGGGCCATAAAACCACTTTTAATATTGCTTGTTAATGTGATTATTTATACGAGAAAGAAGGAGAAGAGACAGTAACGGGGGAAGGACAGGAAGAGAAACTGAAGGCAGAGAGACAGCCAAAATCATTCCAAGTGATCATTCATCCTTCTCTTGAACCCACTTAGATCAAAGAAATGTTTCCATTTCATGACATTTCTCAAAGTGACAATATTTACAGAGAGGCACATGCCAACACACATCTTCACGTGCAGTAGAAGAACAGACATGTCCTAGATGCTGAGACCTTTAGTAGTGATTATAGCTAACCGAACAAAGAGAATATTGCATAACCCAAAAAATTCACCTATCAAAATAGATGGTTTTACTTTAAAATCCAATTTACCTTTTATACCATTCTCTTTCACCAGATTAGCCCAATAACTGCTAGTATAATTTGGAGGAAAAAATCCTGTTTCTTTTTTTGAGCAGATTTTATGTGATAAAGCCTTTTAACTGATTTTATTCAGTCATGGGACTTGTCATTCAAAATAGTCAAAAAAATCCTTTTTTTTTTTTTTTTTTTTTTTTTTTGCTAGAGTTTGAATTTGTATTTGTTTTTAAGGGTTTCCTTAATCGCAAAACAAAAGCTAAATTTTGAGAAAGGATGTTAAAGAAAACAAAAGCTTAATGATGATTTGACAATTCTGCCCTTTCATGGATTCATTTATTCTTAAAAGAATCATATAATGAGTCAAGCTCCATCGCAGTATTGAGGCTGAAACAGTAAATGAAATTCATATGCCCGCTGGAGCCAGGGCTTAATCTCCTCCTCCTGACCTTTCTCTGCTCAGCAGTGCCAGACTATAAAACCCTGCAATGCTCCAAGAACTGCAGGGACCTCGCCATTCGCTTGGTACAGATCACCAAAATCCTATCTAACGGCTGTGGGCCTCTCAGTTTCGATTTACCTGACTTTGGAGAAAGGATACCACGATGCCTGGCATACCCTGCAGAATTGCTAGAAGAACATTTATAGTAAATGATGGTTTGGGGACCTAAAATGATGTTAGTGTCTCAAATGTTGATCATTCCTCTTGGGGGTAAACAGCTCCCAAAAGAACAGATAAGTTATCAGGCTCAGCCAGCTTTAGAAACTGATTGTTCCTTTTTCTATTCTTTCTCCTCAGTGTATGTTTACAACACATAATAATTACACTTGTGGTGGGGAATTGATATATATATATATATATATATATATATATATATATATATCACGGCATCTTCATCCTTTTTATATTCATCCCCTCCTCCCGACACATTCCGCTTACCCTTTCCCAGACTCCCTCTCATCTCTAGAAAAGTCTGTTTCCTATCACCTTTTTTAAATTTCGTTTTTAGATTATTTATAGTTTGGGTTTGTCAGGTGATACGTAACCTTCTTGGTCTTAGAACTGGAGTCTCAAGACCCATCGATTTTCCTAGAAATGCTTTCTGTTTATCCGTTTAATGGAATGGTGCTCCATTCTATGCACAAGTCATATGTTCTTTATTCATTCACTTGCTGATGGGCATCCATATTGCTCCCAAAGCCTTGGTAGTGTGCACCATGCTGCTATACATGTGAGTATACTAAGACCTTAATGCTTTTGAGACAACACCCAGGAGTTCTACAGCTGGGTCCAAGAGAATTTCCATTCTTAGTTTTTTGAGTAATCTCCATATTGATTTCCAAGGGGTTGTGATGTACTCAGTTATGTCCCCACCAATGATGAACAAGGGCTCTTTTCCCTCACCCACGTGGCTTTTGGACTCGTCCATGATAACCATTCTTAAGGCAGAATGCAGAATTTCAGTGTTCTTTTGATTTGCATTTCTTTAGTGGCTACACATGCTGAACACTTGTTCAAGTACTACTGGCCATTTGTACTTAGTGTCTATCAACTTCAGCTGCCCATTTTTTGATTTGTGTCTTTTTTTTTTGTTTTAGTTCTTTAAATCCTCTAGATTTTAGTCCTCTGTCCAAGGACAAACTGGCAAAACATCTTTTTCCCACTCTGTAGGTTGTCTCTTCACTTGGTCCATGGAGTCCTTTGTTATGTAGAAACTTTTTAATTTGAGATAATTCTATTTATTGATTGTTAGTATTATTTCTTGTACAACTGAGGTTCTGCTTGGTAGTACTTTTCCTTGCCTTTGTCTTAAAAGTTGTACCTATTTTATCTTCCCATAGATTCAATCCTCCTGTTTCCATAGCTCTTTGATCCATTTTGATTTGATTATAGTATTGGGTAGAAAACTATATCAATTCTTCCACATGTGAACAACTAGCTTTCCTAGCACTATTTGTCAAAAGCCTAACTTTTCTCTAGTGTAGACACCTGCTAAATCCATTTGTTTGGTGGTGTGGTTAAACTCTGATGTTTCTCTGTTGCCTTTTTTTCTGGCTGACCTGTCTGTGACAATGGTCCCTTGCTATGATAGCAATGGTGTCTATCTGTCTTTTACCATCCGGTAGCTTTTGTTTTATGAAACTGGATGTGTCGACATCTGTGTACATGACCTTGTAATTGCTATTTCTTTGCTGAATTGTTCTTTGGCTAAGATGTAGTGATGTTCTTTTATGTACTGATCAGTTTGGCTTCAAATTCTCCTTGTTGAAAATTGGAGTAGCTAACCCTACATGCTTTCAGGCTCTGGTGGCAGAAAGTATTATTTTCCATTATCTCACTTGCAGTTTATGGGATTTGTTTGCCTGCTCTGGTCAACTGCGTCTCTTTCAGACAACATATAGTTAGGTTTTATGTTTCATCCAATCTGCCAGTCTGTGTCTTTTGACTGGACAGTTAAAACCATTTATATTGAGCATTATTACCGGAAAGGTATTTGCCGAGTCTTGTCATGGTATTATTTTTCCAGTGATGCTTCTTTTCTGTCTTCCTTTTTAAAAACTATTTTCCCAGTTAGATGAATTCTTTGCTCTTTGAGAATATTGGCCTGTCTCTGTCTAAAATTCCCTTAAGTCGTTTCTCCAGGGCTAAGTAGGTGGTTGTCTGGGTTACCTTCTTGTCACTGAGACACAGTACTCAACACCCACAATTTAAAGAGGCCAAGATTTATTTTGGCTCACAGTTTGTAGAGGTTTTAGTCCACAGTTGGCTGCCTCCACAGCAGGGCAGCATAGCAGGGAAGAAATACTCTATAGCAAAGCAGGCTAGAGGCAAAGAGATGAGGGGAGGAGAGAGGGAGACAGATCTCTCCAGGCCACACCCCCACTGACCAACCTCCTCCAATCAGGCTTCACCTCAAAAGTCAAATTTAACTATGAACTCATCAGTAAACTAATCCGCTGATGATTATCATGCACCCGCGATCCAATCACCTCTCAAAAGCTCCACCAGTGAGTGTACCAGGCTTTGGGAGGACATTAGATATAAATAGTAACAGTGCTCATGAATTTCTTTAGATTCTCTGTGTTATGGAAAACTTTCATCTCTGTCAATTTTGAATGATAATTTTATAGGACACAGTCATCTGTTAGGCAATCATTTTCTTTCAGGGACTGAAAAACTTTTCTCCAAGCTGTCCTGACCTTTTAAGTTTTATGTTGAGAAATTTACTTTTTCTGATAGGCTGACCTTTGTAAATTACTTGTCATTTTTCTCAAACAGCATTATAGTATTCTCTGTGTGTTAAATATCTGGGATTTTGACTTTGATATGTGGTAGGAAGGTTCTTTTCTGCTCATGACTACCGTGTTACCTCCTAAATAAGATGTGGCTGGAAAAGAATCAGCCTTGAGGATGAGATAAAAAATAGCAGCCCCCAAAAGCCTGTCCTTGTCTGACCTGCCTTCCACACAGTAGCCTCCAAGCAAGAAGAATAAGGTCTTATTTTTAGGAAAAGAAGGTATTTGGGGTTCTAAATCCCTCATTTACTTGGATGTTCATTTCCTAAACCTGTAAAATTCTGTACTATAATTTTGGTTTAAATTTTTTTTGTATCTTTGCATTGCTGTCTAGTCTTTCCTTAACTCCTATAATGCTAAGGAACTTTTCCCCTGGTCGTCCGGCGACTGTTGGATAGAGTTTTTGTGGTGTCTTGTTTGTAGGCTGTCACGGGATACATGGTTTATCACATCAACTCTTCAGGTCCTGATAATCTCCCCTCAGATTGGTTGTGCCTGCCCATATTTTAAATTGAATTTTCCATATTCAGGATTTCTGCTTGATTCCTTTCCAGAATCTCTAATTCTTTACTGAAGTGTCATTCATATCCTGCATTTTCTTCTTCAGTTCAACCAGCTTTTGTGTCTTTTCAAGCTTGATGAACATCTTATTAAGTAAATCCTTTCTCTGTTTACTTATACCCACTTTGAGGTCACTGAATACTTTATGCATTTGCTTATTTTTCCTTTGATCCCTTCCACATTTTAACATTTGGTTTTTGAATGCTTTGCTTGAAAGGGCAACTCCATTTCATTGCCCATGAGATCAGATTTGGGGGAGTTAAGAGGTTTTGGAGGTATCTTGTTGCCTTGTTTTCTCACGTCTGTGTGTTTTCATGTGGAAGGCTGAAGACCAGTAAGTAGAGAAAACTCTATCAGCTCTCTGACATCTCTCTCGGCAGTTATGTCGCCCTGTGCTGTTAACCCTGACTTGGATCATTTGAATTAGCTTGTGCACTAATTCAACCCACTTAACATATTAGGATCCGTTCTGATCACCGCATTGCAAGAAGAGAAGAACTATAGATTCTATCAGCATCTATAGAATCAACTATACATCAATCATATCATTTAAAATTTTTTAAAATCTTCATTTTCTTCAATAACCCAGGAAGATAGTGAAATAATACTGATGGCAAGTACTTTGGGAGGTGGAGGATGAAGGAAGGAAAAAGGAAAAATAAAGTAGTCTGAAAAGAAGGAAAGAAGAAAAAAGAGAAGAGCGAATGCAAGAAAGAAAGGTGACAGGACTTCGGTGATACTATTTTTATATATGGAATCGAGAGTGGGGAGAGCGCAATTTAGAGGCTGTGTGCAGGAAAAAGGAAGAAAAGAGAGAGAGAAACATGACTGGAGATGGAGGGATGCTGTGAGAAGCTGGGAAACGATATGCTGGTAGAAAGCTTGCATCTGAGCCCCTCACAGCTTTAGGTGAGGGCTAACCTGACGTGTACATGGAAGATCCTAAAAGCAATAACTAATTCTTACTATTTCACATCTATGAACACTTCATACACATAGTCTAAGAGAGGAAAAAATGAAAGGACCCAAAAAATGAAAGGAAATTAAATAAATAAAAGCAATAAAAAATATGCTTTGTTGGTGGTATCTGTGTCACACAAAAGCAGGGGACAGGGGAGACTTGGAGGGGAGGGACAGCAAAGCAAACCTTTGGCGTGGAAGAGCCTGGTGTGGCGAGGTAAGGGACTCTTAGTCCCTCACTCTTATCAAAAGCAATGCCACACAGAAGAGAGAAAGAAATAAAAGAATACAAAATACATTGTGCTGACAGCGTTGGTGTGCTAAAAAAGATGGGGGGAGGAGAGAGGGCTTGAAAGGATGGAGGGGAGAAGTAAATAGACAGGAAAGGAGGAAGAACTTCGAATGGCACACTGCAGAGCGCGCAGAACAGTTGAGATCCATTTATGACTCAACTGAACAGCTAACTGAGTTATCCCTGTGAAACAGCATGTGGCAGAGGGAAACCGAGGGTGGGTGGCTAAGAGCAACAGTTCGGATTCCCGTCCCCTTCCTAGTGCACAGCAGCCCCCAGCCTTTGCAGAAAGCAATAGGAGCTGAGAAGGAAGCGTGTGAGCGTGCACGCATGCACGCCCATTCTCAGCCCTGTTTATACTGCTCCGGTCCCCTGTGGCCGTGACAGGGAGAGGATGTTATATCCACTGCCACTTGACCTCCAACAACTCGTGCTCCTGCCTGTCACGGGGTGAAGGGCTGGGAGGTCCAGATGGATCGCTGACTACTTCGTGTGTCCTCTGCAGACAGACTTACAAACATCTTCTGAGCGATTCCTACACGCCTGCAGAGCACTGCTGCTTCACCTCACCTCAGCTAGGGCCGCTAACTAAAGATAGCTTTGCTTGGACATTAGGAAAAGTGGAGGGGACGTGACAACAAAGGACAGTGGAATGGACTGCAGGGCAGGACCACAGCACACTGGAAGAGAATCTGTTTCTGCTAAAACCGAGCACTGGACAAGTTTACTTCTGGATTTGTCTGTATCAGTGTGTGTGAAAGGCAGAAACGGGGACACGATGAGATAAAAGTAAAAACAAGGCAAATATTGAAGAAAATGAAAAGCAAACAAAAACCCTGAATAAAATAATAACAGACCATTCAGCAGCTCTTAGAAAATGAAATGCTTGGCAGTGTGACGTGCTCAGCTCTCTGCACTGGAGATAACATGAGCGCTACTTACTGCTCCGGGGTCTGTGAGGGGCGACCAGACAGGAAGCTGCGGCATTCCTCCGGGGCTGTGGAGGACACCTGGCCTTTGTCCACAATGCTTCCGGCCTCTGACCTATGCAAATGACACATGGCACCCGTCACAGCACAGCGGGACATCGCCACTTCATGGTTCACACAGTCCGTAGAGCAAAACATCTGTCACCCGTTCACACTGCTTTGTCACCACGAGCCTTTGCTGTACGGAATTTCTACCTTACGACGTATCTCACGCTGACTTCTCGCTTACCAGTACCATTATTGCTGCAGAATTCTTAACTGCAAGCAGAACTTTGAATTGAGGAGTTTCCTTTCATCTGCATAATGTTATTTAATATACAATCACCATAAAACAAATGCATGTTTACTAGAAGAACACCTAACCTGGCTCTGTAGAGCGATTTGTCTTACGCCATCACTTACTGAACAGAATGATGTGGCACCAGAAATCACTTTTCTTTTCCAGATAAAAATGTAAATTTCATATAGAAGAGAATAAAATATAGATCATGCTTTACCATATTATTAAGAGGCATGAAGTGAAATTCAAATATATGAAAATTTGAGGAATATTGAGCTGATTTTTATTATTACTTAATAACAAACTAATTTCTTTTCTAAGCTGAAGTTCAATCCTATCAGTGACACCACCTATACAAGACCATCTTACCACACCTTTACTAAAGTTAAGCCACATCAGGGGCCCTACGGACACAGCACGATGCTGACAAAAGGAAATCGCGGATATTTCCAGAGCTCAGGCTTTCTACCTTTTGTTCCCTGCAGGCTTAGGCTCTGGCTCATTGCTCTCCACCTTCTTCCCCGGTGCCAGCTTTTCAGCACTGTCCAGCAAGGCGCTGAGAGCCACTCTCCTGAAGACATTCCCATGAGCTTCTTTGATAAACTGGACCAGCTGACGAATGTCACAGTACAGCCCCTTTTAGAAAGCAAGAGAAAGGGAAGATGGGTGTGATTAGTTTCATAGGGGGAAAAGGTAATTCCTTGGGTTTCCATAAACATTGGAATCATAAAAGAAAGTTAATTATGGCTGTTGAAGTTTATGGCACACTATCGTTCCTGTAGAGCAATGCCAAGAACATTGCTAGTCATCCTGAATATGAAAAAGAATGGTAGCAAGCTTGGCATTCAGAAAGCTGGCTGAATGGCTAGTGTTATGGTCAATACACTGTGTCAATTTGAGAAGTTTAGAAGTTTAACTCAGAGACTTAGCAGGGAGCCAGGAACCTTAGTTTGCAAAGGAGGGCAAGGAGATTTTGTGAGTGCTACACCAGTTGGTAGGGGTGGGCTGTGTACAACATAAAGGAGGAGAAAAGGCTTTTTCCCCATTTTTCTGGGGGCTGATTTGAAGTGTTGTCCCAGTGCCATGCCATCCTGCCTTGGAGCCAGCTGATTATGACTGAAACCTCCACAAACAATGAGCTAAATAAACCTTTCCTTCCTTCATTTTGGGTGTCAGGTATTTTATCCCAGAATAAGAAAAATTAACCAAGATAGCCAGAAAGACATCACTCTGTGTTTTTCATCAATGGATTCCCATTTAATTATAACTTAATGATGGTATTTACAGAAAAAGGTAGGTATAAATTTATCTAGACTCAAGAGTTCATGTGGGAAGCCGCCTATGATGGCGCCCATTTCCTGCTTCCGGGTTCTTCCCGGCCTGAACAAGCCCGCCAAATTGTCATGTCTGCCCAGTTACCCGTGACGCTAGCCTATCAGCTTGTTAGACGCGCTTCTCTGTGATTGGATACTGCTTCCCCTTATAAGAGGTTGTTCCTGCCCCCAACGGGCGGAAGAGGAACCAACGTTGAGGGTGGCGGACCTTGTTAGGTCCGGTTCGCTGTACGCAATAAAGTTTGAGAGCTGATCCTGCTCGAGTTTGGTCTCCTGTCTCCCGCGGCTCCGGTCATCTGGTGGCCCGTACGGGGAAAAAGGTAAAAGACTCAGCGACGTGCCTCTTCGGCCGGGAGGTGCGATTGCTGTCGCCTGCGGTACGACGGAGGACCTGGCCCAATAACAACGGAAGGCCGCGAGCACCTCTTCTCTTCACCCTGATCAGCTACGTGAGATACAGCGGTTCCCGGGACAGGTGAGTACTGGGTCACCTGGGTTGGGTGGACGCACCTAACAGATTTTGAGTGCCACACGAGTGGACGCCGGTTTTTTTTTCTTTTCTTTTCCCTTTGCATCTGTTTTGCTTTCACTTCGCTAATACAGCCCGACAGGCTTTTGATAGAGCTCGATCGGAATGCTCAGAGGAGCCCGGAGCCACTGCCGATTGTAGGTCTCCGGAGGACCCTCAGGGCTCTAATTCTGATTTGGATTCGGAAGGCTCAGAAGAGGAGGTCGTCTTTGCTAAGCATGACCCTCCTACACTGTTAAAAGAGGAACTTAGGGCTCGGGAAGATAAAAAGGGGAACCAAACACCACCCTGCCCGAGCTACTCCGCTTTGCGGGAGGAACTTAGGTCCTTCCGCTCCTTGGCAAGCTCGCAACCCATGGTCGCCCCCTTTAGGACGCCAGGCCCCACTGCACCACCGTGGCCGGAAGAGGAGTTGCTCCCTGGGCTGCCACCTCCACCCGTGGCCGCCAGAGGGCGCCCACAACCTATGGCACCGCCCTGGTTAGAGGGAGAGCTACTTCCTGGATTACCTCCTGCGCCCCCTTCTGGGGGAGGAGGAGGACGTTCCTTCCGTATGTGGTAAATGCTCTCCAAGTTCTGGAGACGGCGGGTCCCATTAAACCCTCTTCAACGGTAGCCTCCATATTCCTAGGTATTCAACATCAGCTATGGAATAGAACCTCAAAAGTGTTCGTCTCACATATCAGAGCCCATACTAATTTACCTGGGCCCTTGGCGGAGGGCAATGCCTTGGCAGACTCGGCCACGTGCCCGATATGGGTCTTCACCTTTCCCAACCCTCTGGAAGCAGCCCAAAAATTCCATTCTCAGTTCCATGTTAATGCCCGCACCCTCATGGCGCGCTTCAACATCACGAGAGCACAAGCACGACGGTATTGCCCAGCTTGTGTGATCTCTTCACCCCAACAATCTATTGGCATTAACCCAAGAGGACTTCGCCCAAATCATATTTGGCAAATGGATGTTACACACATCCCAGAATTCGGAAAACTTAAATATGTTCATGACATTTTGTCAACAAATGGAGGTCACTCTTAAACATGGCATTCCTTACAACCCCCAAGGACAAGGCATCATTGAGCGATCCCATCGGACACTCAAGGGTGTCTTACAAAAACAAAAGGAGGGAATAGGCCATGGCCTAACGCCCAAAGGAAGAATATCATTGGCACTCTTTACCATAAATTTTTTAAACCTTAATCACAATAATCATTCCCCTGCCATGGAGCACAATAACCCGTCCCCGGCTGACAAAGGGCTGGTGAGATGGAAAGATATCCTTACAGGACAATGGATGGGCCCGGATCCAGTGGTTAGCTGGACCCGAGGTGCAGTTTGTGTCTTCCCACAGGAACCAGGCTGCGAACCGCTGTGGGTCCCGGAAAGATTGACGCGAGCAGTAAACTCCCCACCAGTTCCTGATAAAGCACAGGAGGATAAGCCCGCGGACACAAGTCAACTCGACCCTTCTGGGACCGACGCTCAGCGCCCGAGACCATCTACAAACTAAAATGTCTGGTTTGGAGCTTTTTCTATTCTGTGGGTTCCTATTAATCACCCCTGTTCGCACAAAGTCCCTCATAGTCGGTCAGGAACTTGACAATATGGACGGTATCCAACTAGGTCCAGTCAGGTTCGATTTATCAACTTTAGGCAGTGTTATAGCCAGTTTGTGGGAACGCGTCACCTCCTGGTTCTCCTGGCCCAACCTGACTACTTGGATCCTGATTGCCGTGGCCATCCTAGTGGGGCTTGTGGTTATTAAATGCTTGTTAGATCGCCTCATACAAACTCAGCAGCAGGTTAAGATCACAGCCATGGCAGCCATGCAAATGGCAGCAGGTGGCTCATCAGGCCAGCAGGCCACCGCATATCTCCTTCACATTGCAGAACATCAGCTATAAGAGCTGAGTGGGCAAGCCAATGACGGGTAAGACGGGAAAAGCCCTCCCGGTCAACCTAAGACAGGCTCCACTCAGATATACATGGCCTATAAGGCCAGGGGTCCCTCCTGGAGTCAAATTATTGGCATTGAGATGCGAGACCAAGGGTACTGCAGTGCCATCCGCCCCAAAGGTTGGGGGGAAGGCAGGAATGAATGTCTATATGCATCCAGGTTCGGTTCACAAAAGCCTGGCCCTGCGAAAAAATGAACCACTCACCTTGAGCATGGTCCTGGCACAAGGATATGCACAAAACGGGGTGATGCACAGCAGGGTATAGACCTCTACATTCTCTCATGCCTCGGCCTACAAGGTAGGCCCACTCCTAGGTGTCTAACAGCAACAAGGTCATAGACACCTTGGAGGGACCCACAGACCATCCTATTTTAATAAATAAAAAAGGGGGAGATGTGGGAAGCCGCCTATGATGGCGCCCATTTCCTGCTTCCGGGTTCTTCCCGGCCTGAACAAGCCCGCCAAATTGTCATGTCTGCCCAGTTACCCGTGACGCTAGCCTATCAGCTTGTTAGACGCGCTTCTCTGTGATTGGATACTGCTTCCCCTTATAAGAGGTTGTTCCTGCCCCCAACGGGCGGAAGAGGAACCAACGTTGAGGGTGGCGGACCTTGTTAGGTCCGGTTCGCTGTACGCAATAAAGTTTGAGAGCTGATCCTGCTCGAGTTTGGTCTCCTGTCTCCCGCGGCTCCGGTCAAGTTCAGTCCCTGTTCAGCATCTCTAAATTTGATGCATTACTATGACAAAAATGATAAATCCTCCACGTACTGCAAACAAAGCCCATTTATTCAAAGCATGTGGAATTTTTCTAGAGTCACTTAACAGGTAATATGTATGTTGTAGGCCAGTTTAACCTGACCTTGACTATAAAGTTCAGACTATAGTACTGTTAATACTAAATACATTGGTGAGGCACCATTTAAAAGAATATACAAGACTTTGTACTTTAGAGACTAAGCTTTGCACTAGCTTTTCCTCCTCTGTCTTTCTTCTTTAAAGAGGTACTTATGTAGTTTTTGTCTATTGATGGCAAAGCAGAGTGAAAAGTCTAAAAATCAAACAAAAAAAAACCCCACTTATCTTTTTAGTTTGGGCTGTCAAAACTTTAAGGCCACTGAGACAACTACGCCTAAAATCATTAGAGAATCAGAAGAAATGATCTGGGGTATGACACGGGGAGCGTGCCCCTGGGGCCCTGAGGAGCAGATCCCGTGTACAGTGCCCTTCAGCAGCTCCTCTCTGGAAGAGCCCCATGGAGAGGGCGCCAAACTCCTAGCCAGCGCACAGCAGAGGGCGCTGTGTGAAACAATTGCTGTGAACTCAGGACGGAGCCTCCAGCAGCCTCCCCAGGCCCCCGATGCTGCCCAAAACTTGGGGACCTTTGTGTCACTCAGCAAAGTGGAGAAACTAAAGAATGATTGAAGTTTGATTTCCAGTCATTCCTGTGAGACGGTGGATCAAAACTGAACTCACAATGATTCAAAGAAAATTAAGACCTACAATATTTGTCATATATCCGCATGAGGCTGTGGATAAAGACCGATAATCCATACATTACACCCCATTTGATAAATTACTTAGAGCTCCGACCAAAACAAATATATGGATGATGCCTGCATTACACTGGAAGTCCAAGAACCCTGTTGGATTGGCCTTGACCGTCAGGCATCATAAACTTTCTTTGGTGTAGAGTTTTAGTCTCTTTATGGAAAGTGATTAACTTCAATAGTTTAGAATTATTTAAAACATCACCCTTGATTTAGGCAGATAAGCAAATGGTGTCCATATGTGCGCATGGACTCATTTTACATGAAAGTAATAACACCTAGTAGTTGAGAGGCTGCTGCTTTGCTTCCCAGAGAAACTTGGATTCATTTATGGACGACAGAGTGGTCAGGCTTCAACTCCACTGACTACTCCGAGACACAATCTCCTTGGTAGAAACAAGCAGCAACATTTCACAAACGCTTCTCTCCCAACACTATTGTGATTTCAGTGGTTTAGTTGGCACAGTGTTCTGGGAGGAATAGCTAAAAGGTTACAGGGCTCCATAAGAGAAAAACAAAAACCAGTTTTAACAGTACGTGTGCATTCATCTTTAAAGTATATCCAGTTTCAATAACATTTGGTTCAACATTCTTTAATATTTCACAAACCAATAAGCAGTGCGCTTGCACCTTCTTTCTGAACGGCCCTAACCCTAACCCTAACCCTAACCCTAACCCTAACCCTGACCCTAACTCTGACCCTAACCCTAACCCTAACCCTTGCAATGATTTCACCGAACAGAACACAACCTTTGAGATGAAAGAAAAGTCAACCTGCCCACAGGGAGGGCAGTGAGGAACAAGGAGAAAGGCATTGATAAGGCCTCACTGTGAGTTACTGGTGACTCCGGGGGAAGTGGATACTTCAGGTTTCAGCCCAGGACCCACTCTGTGAGCACAGACACAGAACTCCTGGGGGAAGAGGAGGGGAGCTTCTCACCAGATTCTCCGGGCTGTGCAGTTCGTGCGTGGTGGAAGCACAGCGTGTGATGAGCGACTTAAACATGGCACTGACGATAATGCCTTCCACATTCTGGGCTGTGGATTTGTTGTCTACCGTGGTGAAGTTGTTTCCGAACCCAGCCTTGTCTGGAATGCAAAGACACAAGTTACAGACAAAGTTTCTGTTCAGCTACACAGTCTGAAGGAGTGAGGAAGGAAAATATTTGGCACCCAGAAACAGGGAAGAGGTAGACAAAATCCAAGCACAGAGGACTGAAGACGGCTGGTTTAACAGCCTCTAAGCAAACCTGGAAACAAGTGAATCATAATCTTCCCTGTCTTTCCTTGGCATTTCCAACAGAATTGGTAGAGTATTTTGACTGCTGTCTTCTTAGCAAAAAGAAGGGTATTGACTTTTGACTTCAGGGTTAGAGTAATCTTTAAGTAAGTGACCACTCTGAAAAATGACCTGCCAAATGTCCCCTTTAGGCAGAAAGTGTCTGTGGGGAGGAGGAAGGCGGGCTCAGTGGAAGCTGCTCAGTGGGTCAGAAGTGGAGGGAGGTAGAAGCAGCCAGTTGAGCCAGTCAGCGTACAGGAAGAAGCAGAGAGAAGCTCAAGAAGGGGACTCATATAGACAGTGAGAAAGGAACACCCTGTGCTCAGCTGCAGAATGTTGCCAGGTACCTCTCGGTATGTGGAGAGAGAAAGTCTGCAACACTCCCACTCCTCAGAGAGCCCCCTTGTGACCCACACACATATACAATGCCAGGGACTGAGCCCACCCATCCTCATAGTGTTTTCTACCCTCGGGGCTCAGGTACTCAGCGGCCTTGCCAGAAATCCCTGTGTGGCTAGTGAGCTACCAGTAGGAAAGAGATCCAGTCTGAGATGATCATACAGGGACCCATCTGGCTGATCCATTCACTGCGGCCCACATCCACATCTCCAGAATCCCAGGAGACACACATTGCCTTAAAATAACACATTTCCTTGAAACGATGGGGTCACTTCTATATTTCACCTTACTAAAAGAAAGATTTCAGTCTAAGCTGATGGTGCCTATCTCAGGTAACTTTAAAAAATATTACTTTGGGAGCAATAATTTCTCTTGGAGATCTCAACTACAATCCTCAGTTCATTGCTTTTTAAATTTATCATATGCTTGGCTCAAAGTAATTCTGCTAACACAGATTATGTTTCTATAGATGAGCAATGCTTTTAAATGTGATAATCAAACAATAAAGCCTGGGATCCAACCAGGAAAACTGCTCCAAAATCTATCAAGTGGATGTTCAATATAAATTAATTAACTATGAATATTCGCATGCAAATATGAAGAATAAAAACTTTCAATTGATTACTGCATTTGCATGCAAATGGCACAAAAGGGGTTGAGTCTCTTATACATGCAGCTTAACTGTGACTGTTAATCTTGATAAGTGAACTTCATTAGATGAAGAAATTCCTAGCTGATCAGGACAGCACACTGTTGTGGGTACTGGGGTGAGTCATGGAGGTATAAGCTCAAGTACTTACATGCTCTGCTCTGTTCTGCTTCCTAACCACAATGCATTGAGCAACTTGCTCATCCATGACATATTTCTGCCTTGGAGTCAGCCTACCATGGACTGAACCCCTTGGAAATTGAGCCAAATTAAAAGTCTTCCTTTAAAGTGTAGGTTTGGGTATTGTGTCTTTAGGACGGAAAACCTAATACAGTAATTTAGGTCTCTATATTGGAGTTATAAAATAGGTTATAGGCCTCTGTATGGATTCTTTTGCTTAGCTGTTAAAAATTAATTCTATATGTATATACAAAAAAATCACATTATTCCTATGTTTATTGTGACCACATGTATTTATTTTCTCTTTGCTGTTTTATGTTTTCAAAAACTGCCAAGCACCATGCCTAACACATCTTAGATACTCATTTCATACTTATTGAATTAATAATTTTCTGTCTGTAGTGAAACTGGGTAAGAGAAAGTCATGTGAGACACAGCAATCCTCTGGTTAGTAATGTAAAGACGGAGAATTAAGGTGAGGATGCCACAAGCTTTACCAAATTCTCACAAACCGTGTCCTCAAAGATGATGTGCGGGATTTATGCTTGTGCTCAGTTACACCCACACTCACGCGTGCGTGCATACATCTCTCTTCTTCTAACTCCATCACCACAGATGGAAACACTACCTGCTTCACCTCACATCGATGGCTCCTCGTACTCGGGGGCAGCTTTACTTACTGTCGGTGACCGGCTCCATACAAAATCCTAGCAAAGCATGCAAGAAGTCCACTACATTATTGAGAGAATCCTTGTTCACATAGTCCCTCATGGTCTGGCGGAACTGCATCTTATCTAGCTTATATAGCTTAGTGAGGCAGCTCTGGGCCTGCAATGAAGGAAGAAAAGTGAAAAAGTCAAAAGCACCAGCGTCAGCGACAGGTGTCATGAGTCTAAGACAGAAGCCTTCGGAAAGCAAAGACTTCCCTTCGCCCCCACTGGCGGGTGCCAGGCAACCCCCCAGCCCCACCTGTCAAAGCAGGGGCAGAGACAGACTGGGCCGTCCCTGTGCACTTGCATAGAGAAGAAGCACTCCTCGGGAGAAGCCGGAAGCTTAACGTGCATCCCAGGAGGAGTTCAATATTTTCATCAAGATCAAGATTTTAGGATCTTAATGAAAATAATGCAAAGTGTATATCTGCGATGAGTCACAGCAATTCATAAGGCTTTGTGCCCCTCCCAGGTCGAAACTCAATGGGGCAGAGAGGGAAAGCAGGGTAGGAAGGAGGGTCCAGTGCCTTGAGACACATAAGAAGTATAAAATAAAGCCTGGTTTGTTTATTTTTCTGTCTGAATTTGGTTCTGAAAATATGGTGTTTAAATACAAGTTAGCTTCATGAGCACAAAAACAAGTTGGCTACACACTGCTAAAATACCAGCCTGTTTCTTAGGAGTCAGCAGATAATTTTGCCACCTGTTAAAAGGAAAAGGGTACAGTTCCTGCCACCACAACCAATGAAGTGACGATTATTGGCTGTAGAAGGAAGCAAATAAAATGCTGATACTGCCCAGGAGTGTGGGGCACCGTCTAGCTCTCTTCTAGGATCGAAAGGAAAATTCCATTTGTGTGGTGCTTTGCTGTTTAAAACACAGTTCTCACACGAGCAAGCATCACATGTGACTTTCACATCTTTTTTTTGAGTTTTCCCTTGTTACAGGCAAGAGGAGTGAAGCTCTCAGATGCCAAGGACTTTTTCCTGGTTGATGCCACAAATTCCACAGCACAGTCAAAACTAGAAGTCAGGGCCTTGTGTCCTAATCCAGTTATTCATCCTGTGATATATATTCATCTCGTTAATGATTCAGAAAATGATGTTCTTGGGAAATGTGTTTAGATACCACCCATTAAAAAAAAAAAGATTTTGGACGATTAGTAACAGATCAGTTGGTATCTTGGGGAAAGAAAAAAAACTGTTTGTGAACAAAAGGGATACAAGAAAACCCACCATGATGGGACAGAATGGGAAAATGGTAGCAGCCTTTGGGTTGAAATAAGCTGCCAAAGTACCAAGAGAGGAGGGAAAGTGTGTGTGTGGGGGTCACCATAAGTGAGGACAGAGAACTTCTCACCACCAGGCCAAGGCGGGGAGTCGGACTGGGAAGACGGTGCATGGTACTGGTGGGCTCTCAATGATGACCCAGAAGGAAACTGAATCTGCACTACAATTTTAACAAGCCCCAGGGAAAGACACTTGGAAATTTTAAGAATGAAAGACAGAAAGTTAAAAAAGAAGAACAGGAAAATAGCTACAATATCAGCAGCTAGTTTGGTATTATCTTATTTAATCAGTCTAGCTATATCACAGTCAGATGGACTTTAAAAATTTTTTTCTTCACTATGTACTGACAGATCTAAAATCAAGTATTTTTATTCCCACAGAATTACTAGTTACTAGATCCCATGTAAATTCATATATTTTATTAATTTATTTCTTATAAAATGGATGCTGTGTTATAAAGTGAAGTTTGCAAAACACTTAGGTAAAATATGTTCTACACAAATAATTCAAGTATTATTCCATAAAGAATTTGTGAAGAAATTTACTTTAATATTTACAAAGGACTTTTAAAATCCTGGATTGGAAAATCTTTAAATATAGATTATTCCATGTACTCTTTAAAATACACCACATGGGTCTCATTTCAAATATATTCTTTAAGGATCTTAGGTTGCCTACACGTTTTGCATGAGTTCAATAGAAAGTTCAAGTTTAAAAATAAGATTGTCAAGCCTTTAAATGTTTAGTTTCTGAATGAAGGTCCTAAACAGCTTCAAAAAAATAAAAAAGTGTTACAGAATGAGTTCCTTTTCAATAATTTGGTAAAGATTCCATCAATGATCTAAGAAGTGTTGCAGGGCCGTGGGATTGAATCACTAAGCATCTTAATGACTGTCATTAAACAATCTGCTCCTTAAAAAAGATATAGAGACTATGATCTGCTAAAAATAAGAAACACTACTAACTTTTTCAACAAAGGTAACTCCTGAAAAGGGAAAGGTAGAGAAGAATGTGACTAACTTCTTGAGCTAGACATTTTTCAGGGGAATCTCGCCAACTTGGATGTCTCCGACAATATGTTTATTGAACATCAATAACCCCTCATGACCTCTGTAATGAGCCTGGAATACAGGGATTGTCCTTTAGGTCAACCTGGCATCTGGCTAGAAAAAAGTAGCCTGGCATCCTCAGCAAAGCATGCACACTCATAGATACCAAGCATGGTAGACAGATACTAGTAACAGTCACTTTCATAACAAGCAAGCCCTGCTTTCTGCGAATCCAGAAAGAAGAGACAGTTGTCAGAGCTAGTTTGTATCCGCCATGAGGGCATGACACTTTGGATTACATTTCGGCTCTTCGTCTCATGAAACTGGTCTTTTGCCTGAAGAGTGAAGCTGTTTAGTTAACCTTCTAGGCTTTATTTCATACTGAGGCAGAATTGAAAAGTTACAAATTTGCATCCCCATGTGCAAAGGTGGCAGCAATGTAAGCTTTCTGTTGCTTTATTAGTATCTTGACTTGGAAATTTTGACCCTAAAATCTTGATCTTGGTCAACATGTTTGAGTTGAAGAATTTTGAAGTCAGTTACTTCGAATATACCCCCCATATACATATAACACAGTGAAATAATAAAACATAATATAAAAGAAAGATGGATAAATAAGTAGATGATGGATGACACATTAAACAAGAAACCCAGCATGCTAATACTGTGTGAACACTCCATGACAAAACCTAACACCACGGAAAACCGGGCTGGTATCAGACTTTGACATGGTCCCAAATCTCTGTCAAGCTCTGCTGAAAGGTTTTCTGGATTCGGATTTGCATCAAATCCTTAATTTTAAGAGAATATTTTCTTATAATTTTAATGCAAATGTATGTGTGAGGAAACTCCCAGCTCAGGCTTGCTGAGAAAGTAGATTGTTGCTCAATTCAGATGGGGAAACGCAGCAATTAGTGACGCAACGGAGACTGACCCAGGGCAAATCGATTCCATAAGAGTTGCACCTGCCTGGGCAGGAATCAGTGCAGAGTTTCAGGTTTCACACAGTTCTGAGGGACAGGATCTCAAATATCTAGAAGTCGAGGCTCATTCTCAGACAAAGCAACCAGAACATTACTGGCTACTTTTATAGTCCTATTTTGTCCCAATAAGGGCCATTTTCCATGTCTAAGTAAGAACAAACTGGGTCTTAAACTTTGATCCCTTTCTCTAATATAAAATACGCTTCTACAGGACCCAGACACATGATCAAAAAATCACTAGTCACAGGCCAGCAAGGGCTTGCTGAAGGTTCTCGCCTCCACAAAGTTCTTCAAACTGCCCTTCGCACATTCCAATTATGCATCCTTTCACCAACCGGTGCTTGGGCTGCTTTAGGCAGGAGGCAGAAGAGTTTTCCCAATGAAACCTCCCTAAGCTTGAGTTTTAGGTGTCTTGAGATATCTTGTGGGACACACGCCCACCCCAAGACGGCACTGAAGATCTCCATGAAATGCAATATATTTTAGGGAACACTGACCCTCATTGTCAAAGGACTCATTCCTCAACTGGAGACAGGGAAGAGGGAGAGGAAATGGAATCTACTTTACTTCTCTTACATTCTCTCGGAATACCTGGTGTCTCAGACGATCTCCAGAGAGCCCTCGATGTCCTTCCCCGCAACCATAGGCACACCCCAAGGACTTCACAATCTTGATGAGCATGGTAAGGGCCAGCCTATGGTTGCTCACCGGTGTGCTGTCATCCTAGCGCCCGCGATGGAGAAACAAGAAGTCAGTTTACTGGATCACTGAAGTCCTCTCGCCACTAAGATGCTATGCATTTTGTGATTTAAATAAACCAGGTGATTTGCAATAAGCACCTGCCTAAGGGGAAACAGAATTGTCAAGGGCTCAACAAACAAACTCAATTTTTCTAAAATTTAGCACCTGAATTGAAAGAAAGCAATCAAGTTTTGAGGGAAGGAGCACTGATCTCCTCATTAGAAGACACACTCTGTGTCAATGGTGGTGAACCTGACATGCATGCTGCAGCCGCCATTTGTGATCACTGGAAGCTCTAACAGGTTCGTCATTCCTGCCTTATATCCTGGACAGACTCAGAACAGCTGCTTAGATGGACATGATGAGACCATCGGAGATGAAGGCAAAAAGCTTTCTGTGAGAAGGCTTCTAATAATGCCACCAGGTAAGGATTATTGCTCAGCTTTGGGAATTGACCTGTATTTGGAACTCTGGAATCTCAAGACATTTTTGAGGAATTTTTCTAATTGTATTCTCTTCTTGTTCTACAGGATACATGCGCAAGCAATGTGAGAGTACATGGAACTTACTAAACATGCAACTTGATTCTTCTCTTGAGAATAGATAGCAAGCTCTCCTGAGAGAACTGTGGGAATTATCATCATCCTCTCATTGGCTCTTTCTCATCCTTTCTTTTTGTAAGTGGAGAGCATGGTTCCCCCAAAAGGCACCTTCTTGAATTACTGTATTTCCTTGTTGCTAAGGGAAGATGCTGAGCCCAAGGAAAGATGCTAACAAATGGGAGAGCCATGTCTTTGGTGGTGGCAGACACCCTTGGTCCTTCCAGCTACATTCAGCCCTCAGCACATGCACTTTGGCCCTAGAATTCTAGCTTTTTGTCTTTACTTGGCTATGATAGTACATACTTTAACTCATCTTTCTGTATTTTAGTTTCTTTGCCTGTGAATTAAAGATCCTAATAGCTGCTTTTTCTGCTTCACAGGTTTACTGTGTCAATGAAATTACAGATGAGAATTGCCCTGCCATTGTAAGAGACTTTTCTCATTGGTCCTGGGGTCAGGTTGACACGCAAACTTTGACCACATATTGAGAAGGACTCCAATGTGGGCAGGGTGTGAAAGGGTTAAGGCGCTATCTAACTCTTATCATCTGCCTTAACCGGTAGGGTAGAGGCTTTTCTCCATCAAGGTTCTATAACTGGTCCTTCTTGGCCTATCTGCAAATTCCTATATTGGAAAGAGTGCTGCACCCTAGAGATTCTCTTTGCAGAGGAAAACAGTCTTTCTCTGGGCTGTCAGGTGTGTCAATGGCTGACAGCACTCAGCTGAGCACCCTCCAGGGCTGCCTCCAGCTGGCCAGCTGCGGCCACCATCAGACCAACCCTATGCTGCTTTCCTGGAGGCAGCCTACATCTGATGAAATGGTCAGTAGCATTAATGTGGGGAGGCTGGTGCTACAGGTCCGCATTCCCTGAGGATGGCTTTGCAAAGCCATTGCAGACCCAGAGCCTCCTCTTTCATGAAACATTCACCAACTGAGAAATCATCTTTAATTTGGTGTCATCTTAGCACCAGCCTTTAGTTACTGGTTAACCATAGCAAAGCTACTCAGCCATTGTGCTCTATGCAGTGGGAAACATCCTAATCCCTAACTCTGGAGATGTGAGAGTCCAGTCAAAACATGTAAGCCTCTGATAAAAGCAAAATAAATGTTAATTATTATTACTAGGAGTGGGCGCTGCCAACCTCTGGGGCATCATTAAAAAAGTCCCCTTTTGGTGGATGAATTAGACAAAGCAGAGCTCCCTGGGTGGATCGGACCTCAGATGAGTGACTCTTTGACCGGAGCTAGAATCAGATTTCAGCTCACTGGCTCCCATACTCAAAAGCCTCCGGGTAGGACACAGACAACACGGTCAGATGAGCAGTGCCTCAGAAAAAGTCCCCCACAGCAATGGCTTACTGGGAAACATACATTATATATATGCTGATTACACGGTTTTAAATCACTATCTGCTCCTTTGAAAATTCTCTAGCTCTGAAAGCTCTTTGTAAATATTTGCTCAGGTTTTTAGTTCTTCAGATGTCCTTGGGATTTAGGTTGCTTTCATAGGTGATGTTCAGAAAGACATATATAGCTACAAGCAGAAATCACAGGTATCAGAAAAAGATTTGAAGCTCTCAGGAGTACATTAGTAGCCAACACAGAAACAGAAACTTGATCTTCCTTTTGGTCTTAATTCCCCAAGCTTCTGGTACTACTAGATGGCAAAATTAGATAAAGTCTCTGATTCCACTGAAAATAACGGATGGTTTTAGGGCAAAACAGACCTTTGTAAATTACAGACACAAGGTGCTTCACCTACTACCAGGTTTCATTTGATAAATTCTTTGTACTAAAAAATATGTAATATTATTTCAAGAACTAAGCAGGTACACAACATTTATCCCCTGGCGACTCTTTTGGGACTACGTCAGCTGACCTTCAAACACCACATACTGACCAGCAGTGACAATTTTGGTCCAATAACTTGTATAGTGTCAAGCTCTAATGTCTAATGTCTACCTGATTAAGACAGGAGAAGAAAATCCTCAAGGAAAGGATAAGGAACTCAACAGTACTGAAGCAGGAATATTTGGATCAGAATCTATGGATATTGGGAAGGTGAAAGATTATGAAACTCAGAAAATTAAGTATGTGCTAAGTGAGACTGAAAAGAGAAATTATAAAAAAGAATTCTACAATTCTTATCAGATGTGAAGACATGACAGCATATAAGAACATAATAGGCAATTTACAGTTTATATAATGTATACAGATGGCAGAATTCTATTACTATATTACATTTATAAATGCTTGACATGATAACAGATTGCTACCTATTAGAGATTCAAATTTCTTGATTTCAATTTCTGAACATCGTTTTCCAGCAAGAACCTCAAACTGCAATCAGTGTTAAGTTACACGAATTTAAGCCGTGGTAATTTGCATATAAACTCAATAAAATGAAATCTTGATGTTACACACAGAGATCATAACTGGTGCTGCCAAAGCAGAGGAAATGAAGTTTAGAGATGATCAATAACAAGAAGACAAAAGCAGCTGGGACCTGGCGCAGGAGGACACGAGAGGACCGAGGCTAGGAGAGTCCTGGGCCAAGCCAGCGTCACACAAGCAGAGCTCTTCCCCTGCCTTCTCCTTAACCACAGTTAAAGCTGCCTGTGAAAACTGTACCTAAATCAAGGCAGAGTTTTATATTAAGGAAAATTATATTGCTTGTTTGCACCCTCCTAAAATTCCTATATTGAAGCCTTAATTCCCGAACTGATGAGCATTTCGGAGTCTTCTGGAGTTAATTAGAATTCAATGAGGTCAGATATTAGGTAGCCCAGTGGGATTAGCCTCATAAAAGAAATACTAGATACCAGATCAGTACTCTCCATCTCCATCTCTGTTTCTCTGTCTCTCTCTCTTCTTCCCCCTCTCCTTTCTTCTCCCACACACACACAAAGAAAAGGTTATAAGAACGCATACAGCTGTGTCTCTTAAGTCAGCTAGAAGCCAAGAGAAGACGCCCTGGAATGCAACCGCCCTGCTGATACCTTAACCTTAGACTTCAAGCATTCGAATCTGTGTGCAGTAAATTTCTGCTGTTTTAGCAGTCTACAGCACTTTGTTATGGTAGCCTGAGCAGATTTAGACGCAACTTCAATAGACTAGACCCTGCAAGTCTTGAGAAAGAGGCCAGCCTTGGTGGCTTTCTCAGAATTATTGCACTGTAATGTATCTGAGATAGTCTGCAGAAATAGCATGACCAAAGAATTAGTTCCAACACTTGATGCCTGATGGTGGTATTTAGATTTAGAACACAGTCTCAACAGATTATTTCTACTCAGGCCTTCTGAGAACGTAATGAAAAAGTGTACACAATCGCAACTCTCTCACTCTTGTGACTAGTTGCTGTTTTGAGTCAGTAAATTCTGGACAAGCCAGCACCGGAAAGGAGGTTTTCCATGAGGGCACAGAAGGAGGCTCAGTCGTACCTTTTCTCGGTTCTTATCATTCTTCTCATAAGGACCACCTCCACCACCGCCACCTCCTCCTCCTCCATCGCCTCCTCCGCCTCCACCATCTCCACTTCCTCCTTGTTCTCCTCCACCGTTTCCAGCTCCGCTAACTGAAGGGCCCCCAAATGCACAGGTGGAACTTCCGGATACCCCTTTGAACTGAAAAGTTCCTTCACTGGGTCTCTTTTCCACAGTCTCATTTTCCTTGTTGCTACTTTTCTTTCTGTTCTTTTCCACACAGGGCACAACCCCAAGTTGAAGCAAGCATTCCACAATGTTCAGGGCCACGTCACAGATGCGAGAGCTGATGTCATGGTTAAGGACAAGATAAACAGCCTTCAGAACCACCTGTTAAAGACCAAGATAAGTATACGAGGATTATCAGTGGTCCCTGCTTTATAAATTTGGTTATTCTGTTTAATCCGCTTCCATATCCTGTGCTGTGGATTGGCTCATAAATAATTCAGACAATCTTCAGATTTCCTTATCTGAATTGCATTGGAACCTTGGGTACGTGCTTAATATAGAGTATAAATCACCAAAAGAATTAAAAACACCATCTTCATTTGTCCTCCAAAACCCGCCAGGATGTGGACAATTACAGGAGTATCAAAGCGTAGTGAGTTAAAAACACAGCAATTATTTACCCAAATGGAAACTTGTTTGACTGATTTTTAAAATCAAAGTATTTCAGTTATCTACCTTTTTCTCTCCACAAAATGAATAAAGAATGATGGCCTTGTGTTCATAACAGAGAAACACTCGCAATTGTATCATTAGTTACCCCTCAATTTTAAAGGCACAATATTTGCAAGTTTAAATTATGAGTCTTTAGGAATTTTAATACTTTAAATTATTTGCTCAGCCTGCTTCCCTAATGTGCAATAATAATGTACATGGGCTATAATTTTAAAATATAAAAACTCTTTCATTTGCTAATAACTATATTCAAAACAGGCATTCTTCAAGCATGCAAGCTTAAATCTTTTAAGGATTTAGATTTATTTCTCTGGCTACGCTGGAGGCATGGAGTCTTATTGCTTATATAATAAAAGAAAATAAATAACCCCTGATTCTCATTCTGATAAAAAGGAGTTTACCAAAGCAAAATACATGTATATTTATATGATAGATATATTCAGGATTCACTCAAAATTCTGGATTATAAAAATTTTCAGGCCGGGGATTGAGCTCAGTGGCACAGTGCCTGCCTGGCAAGTGCAAGGTTCTGAGTTCAATTCCCAGTACCAAAAAAAAAAAAAAAAAAAAATTTCTTTTGGAGATCAGATGGAGTCTAATGCAATGAGTAGGAAAAAATAAAAAGGGGACCTGCATAGTTGATGCCCTTGTGAAGTTTCTTAAAATAGCTTTTTAATTTTAAGATTGAGTGCTTCTAAGAATCTATATGGCCATTTTACCCAGCCTTGTAAAAAAGGAACGAAGGGCTCAATCTCTTTGGAGCTTCCTAAGGAAAGTCCCTGCTTCTTACCGAGAGATCCAGCATGCCGTTCTTGTGAACAAAGTTGTTGGCACCATCACTGTGCTCCGTGTCCTCCAGGTAACTGTAGTTGATGCAGGAGTCTGTGAGGCTCCGAGGCAGGTTGGCACATGCCAGGGGCTCATGTGGCATCTCTGGGATGGGCACCTGGTTGCAAAGCTTCCGCATGTGCTCGCTGAAGAAGTCTGCGTAGCCTACGTTGAATGATGCCAGCGTGGTGTTGAAGGTCGCCACAGTGATAGTGGAGATCTGAGATCGCACTGATAAAGTAAAAGCAGTGCCTCAGTTTCCCTCCTATTACCCCACCGCCGCAGTCAGATAATTACACTACTGTTTGGATCATGATCCTGAGCATAGCTGTCGCTTTTTTGGGGATCTCATTTGCACACTCAAGCTATTCTCAGTTCCCATGGAGCTGCTGGGGCCACACAGGCCATGTCACAGCAACGAACAGTGAAAGTTACAGGAAAACGGAACTGTAACTGGCTGCCTTGAGGCTAAGGTTGGGACTTCACTGACACTGGGTGGATTTGAACGCCTTGTAGATGACAGACTGTGTTGGTATCGACTACTTTAATTAAAATATTGTCCCTGCCACGGATTTAGTTCAGTGACATAAGCACCTGGTTGGCAAGCACAGGGTCACGAGTTTGAACCCTGGTACAAACAAAACAAAACAAAACAACAAACAAAATATTGTCCCATACGTATATGGCTAGTAACATATTTTGTTTTGGTCTAGTGTAGTAAGAGCAACAGACAAGAAAAATTCTTCTTTGGTTAAAAGTAGTGGAATATAAATTTTCAGTAGCACCTGACAGATGTCACTGAATATTTGAAATACAATTCAAGGAAAAAAAGGGATGAGATTTATGCTCCCATCAGAGCACAGGAATAAGAAAAGGATTAATTACTCTGTCGGGTAAAGAACAGGGAACTGATCTAGATTCCATTCATATCTGCTCTGCTTGAAGCACCCAGGTATCTAGCTCATAGCAGCCACCTGAGCAGGGGCTGGGCGGGTGTGGAGGCCAGGGACTTCCCACCCACCCAGTGAAGATGCACGAATCCCTCCAACACAAACTGCAGAGGCAACTCTGCCAACTGTGGGTCTGTGATCATTTGAGGAACACACAATGTGCTCCTCCCAGCTGTCTTACCTACAGAGGGACTGGTGCCTAGGGTGCAGTGTCTGATAGACACATGCCAAGAGGGCTAACAAGTAAGTTACCAAGAGGTAGAATGCAAAAAGTGCAAGTCTCCAAAAAATGTAAGGAAACATATACAGTAAAAACGGAAGTGGAGCAAGGAGAGGAGAGGGGAGTGGGCAGCCCGCCCCACCCCGCCTGCACGCACCTTCCTTGACCGTGTTCTCGCCGTGGCTGTTGGAGTGGTCTGGCAGGTCGCTCACCAGTGTGTGATGTGAGTGCGAGGGCCTGGCGCCCAGGCTTTCCATCTCCGTGGCTGCATCCGAGCTGCCCCGCCGCGTCAGTTTCCCTGGCATGGATGAGAGCGACCCAGAGGGTTTTGACATCTGAAAGACTCTGCAGAGACTGTCTCCCCAAAAGACAGCGGCCAGGATGAGGGCTATTAGGGAGCAGGGGAAGTGCAGCCCACAGGACAAGACTTGAACTTGCCTCGGAACACTCAAGGTCAGCACAAGGCTTAGAAACGCCCGTGATAAGGTCCGACCCTGTCTACATCAAACGTCAGAAACCATCTGCTGAAGCCCTGCTGGCTGTCAGCTCCTGCTTTTCAACTAACCCTCTTACTATGCCATCTCAAAAATGGCAAAAGGACATGTCTTTTTGTTTGCTTAGCTTCTTTCTTTATTAAATAACAAAGTGAAATTTGAAAGTCTGTCTTTAGACTAACAAATGAAAGTTAACGTGCAGAACCCTCTAAGGCCATGTTTCTGCATGATTTAAGACACAAGACCATTACCTGGCTAATTATACAGAACTCTTGCATAATTAATTTAATTATCTGTGTTTGTTTGGCTGTGAAAACACTGCATTATTTAAGCACTAAGAAACCTGCATGTAGACCCTGATAGCTTGGCTGAACTATTCAAAAAAGATCCAGTGTTGTCAGGGATTCTTGGGGTAAGATTGCTGCACAGGTCCCTCAAACTCTGCCTCCCTTGGGAGCCTTTGCAGTCACCTAAAATGGTGGTTTGCCAGCCTCCTTTTTCAATGCCTCGCCTTTCTTCTCCAAGCCCAGAGAAACTGCCAAAGGAAAATGTGCTGCGGGTAGGGGACACATCCAGGTGGTCCTCGTGAAGCAGGAATGGCACGCCCATCCTCCGGGGCCTCCTCTTCCCCGTGTGGTGGAACGGAATGGAACCTTTCCTCTCTCGATCTTCCTTTCGGCTCTTGAACTGCAGTGGTGAGAGATGAGGGGTTAGAAGTGGGGCAAAGGAACGGCGACAGCTTCTCTGTGGACTGCCTGTTCTACAGGGAAACATAGGAAATGTCCCAGAGGGTGGAGACCCAGGGAGTCACTGAATACCACTCAGAAAGGGGGAGAAAATTCCCTGATGTGGTCAAAGAGCAAAAGAAACTGAGTCAAAGGTCCCACATTCTGTAGGTGTTTCCACTGTGGGGACTGGAGTGGTGGTTCTCAGTGTGGCCCCTGGGACAGTATCATCGGGTCCCTTGGGAACAGATAGAAATGCAGATTCCCAAGGTCAAGCACAGACACACAGTGTCAGAAACTCAGCAGGGGAGGCTCAGAAATGTGTGCTGGGGGTAGTGCGCTCTGTAGGTGACTTTGACGCATGCTGAAATTTCAATATAGAATTCATGAGTCACCGTTTGGACCAGGATACCTCTTTTCTTTCTCACTTTTCCAGGCTGAACCAATCATTCCAGTCAGCTAACTTCAAATATGTGTCACTGTTCACAAGGAGAGCTGAGATGATTCAGAACACCATATTGTAGTGGTATGATTGGAAAATACAGTGAATGTTTAATTTTTTAAAAAGTATTATAGCAAAATATTTAATTAGTTCTGGGATCAGACCAGGGGCACTTACATTTCTGAAAGCTACTCAAAAATTGTCATGTGAGTATTAAAATATCTGTTTTTCTCTTAGTTAATATTTTTTTTAAAAACCAATGGTTATTTTTAAAAACCAATTCAACTACTGTTGCATTACTAACGAAGGGAAACATGACTGCTTATTTAGAAACAACTGAACTCCATAGATTGTAAGTTCAAAATATGTTCATGTTACTCATTGACATAAACTAAAACATTTGAGAAACAAAAAGCAAACCCACTTCTCATACACAAGTCTAAACACAGTATAATGTTTTCCATTTGATTAACTATGTACCTATAAAATACAGAGGGAGTCATGGATTCAGAAGAGCACACATTGTTTAGCTACAAGGCTTATTTATTTTTTTTTTTTTTTTAGTTTGGGCTCAGTCTTTGGCAAATTACCCAAAATTTTTAAGGATTAATTTCTTCTCTGCAAAACAAGGAGAAGAAGGATCTCACTGGAATAAGAGACTAGTCATATAAAATCCTTTATAAAACAAGTTGAACCACACAAATGTAGATAACCACCATCGTTCATCCATGTTGGTTCTTTTCCCCGCCCTCCGGGCAGGGCCCACGGACTCTTGGTCACTGAATTATCATAAAGCCTAAGTGATCCTACTCACCTTTTTAAAAATGTTCATGCCCAGGTCTGAAGAAAGATCTGGAACTGCAGACCTACGCAGATTGGTCAATGAAACCTTGGAAAAAGCCTCAGGGCTAAGAGATTTTTCCTCTTCATTACATTTCAGTGTAAGATCCTGAAAAAAAAAAATAGGATAGGCCATGACTGAGGACTTAGGGCTGTCCATCTGAACCCTTTTATTACTGAGATGTCACCTTGTTCACAGAGATGAGCCCACTGATTTGATACCTATGGATTATTTAACTTTGAAAACCCAAATTCTGCTGCTGAAAAGATATATTTCAAATATATTCCATTTAAAGTTTTCAGCAATGAGGCTGTGTATTCTCAGATGCAGAATGATAAGAAAGTAGTAGGGAATCATATCTCTTTTTCTTTTTTATGAAAATGAGTGCTTTTTCCATTTAGTAATTCATTAAAAGAGATACTCCTTCTGGATAGAATATCTACTAGCAAGCGTATTTTTCTTTCTGACTCTGATATTCATACTTAGTTTTAGAACATGCAGAAAAAGCATTCAGACCCTGGTGACTCAAATTTAAGTGGACCCCTAATCTGGAACACCCTGCAAGTCAAATTTTTCTCTACATCTTCAAGATACGTGGTTGATGAGAAAGGGGGGAAGAACAAGTTTTCAGGTGATATTACAACATTCATTTATCAAAGAGAAATTTTCACATGGTGCCACCCTATCAACACACACCCAGTTTATTTCTCTAAGCATCTAGAATACATAGCAAGACTGTTACCAAAAAGCAATATTGCTAATGACCACACTGAGACACTCAAAACTTTGAGTCATGCCAAAGAGGTTCAATCACATTCAGTGAAGTGTTACTGTAACACACTTTATGTTGGTAACTGACATATTATTGAAGGTCAGAACTCTACTAATTAATGCTTTGATTACCCAGGAAATCCAGTTTTCATTATTCTGGGCAAACAAAGGCATACCATAAATTAGCACCTGTGCGAATGTGCTTCCTCCCATGGTAAATTAAGAATGAAAAAGCAGAAAAATATGCAGCACTGAGAACTAGAAGGAAATAGATAATGGTAATGAAATAATCCAGCAACTGAGCAGTCAGTTCCAGAACACTTTAAAGACGAATGCATAGCAGACAGAAGGAGAGTGTGTTATGACCAAGATTGGTCTCACTTGGGTTTTGTGAGTGTTGACCAGCGAGGGTGCTGCGGCCACCATGGAGCTACTCCGGGGTCTGGGCAGCAGGGGCACATCGGGCTCTGTGGCCTTCTCGGGCTTCTCTTCCAACATGTGTCGCAGCCTCTGGAGATAGTACATCAGGGACCACTGAGTGCCTTCCTCAGACCAGTGGGGCTGGAGTAGGCAGCGGAGGACAGCAACGTCAAAGTAGGTGGCATAGCGTGACCGCTGGCACGGGGGTATCACAAGAGAGGCCCTGTTCCGGGGACAGAAAGAAGAGAAGGACACAGGTGGTCAGGCCGGCCCGGGGCAGCCAGTGCGTGTAGCCCCCCTTTTCCCATCCACCCGGGTGCTCATTCACTTTTCCTCTGCCTGGTTTACTCCGGGACCCTCCTGCCTGGCCTCACTCATTCCTCTTTCCTAACACATTTCCTAGAAGCAGAGACTTTGAAAGCGTTTTGAAGGAATGGGTAAGAATCAATTAGGAAAAATGACGCTGGGGCAGGAAGGCTTTCCCGACCTGTGGGCTGGCAGTGGTGGGGAATAGAATGGGCAGCGCTGGGCAGTAATGGGGCCAGCTGGATAGAAACAGATGAGGTTTGGGGCTGGGGATTTAGCTCAGCGGCATAAACGCCTGCCTTGCAAGCAGGCAGTCGTGAGTTCGATCCCTGGTACCGATAAAAACGAAAAAGACAAAAAAAAAAAAAAAAAAAAAAAAAAAAAAAAGAAACAGATGAGGTTCACACCGGATGCTTCTTTTGTCACTATGCTGTCACATTCGCCTCCAGCAATATCCATCTTGTCTACCGCACTAGACTATTTTAATTTCAACTGTGAAAATGATTGTGTAAAAGAATTAAGGAAATTGCAAAATTCTTGGCAAACCAAAGTCTTGCTCTAAGGAAAATGAGATCATTTTGAAAATTCTAAAGTTATATATCCACCTAAGAGAACAAAACTAATTTTAAAAATCTCAGAAATCTGGAATCCTATTCAATTTAGATGCATGACATATTCGGTACTTAGTATTCAATTTAACAATACTAAAATAGTTTTGAGCAATCCCTTAGCGTAAGACATTATTTTACATATCACATTGGAAGGAATGAATGACTGTGGAGTTCAAAGTTCATATTAGAAAATTTCAACCCCCAATGTGAATTAGGGGTGTTCGATTTGACAGATATTAAAATCATGAAGGTAGAGTCTTCATAAATGAGATTAATACCCTTCCTTCCAGAAGATTCTTCAGAGAGCCTCCTGCTCTCTTCCTGCCATGTGAGGATAGATTGAAGACAATAATCAGAACCAGAACCTGATCTTGGACTTCTAGCTTCTGGAATTGTGAGAATAAATATATGTGGTGTATACACTGCCCAATTTATGGTATCTTATTCTAGCAGCCCCAAATGACTATCAGCAGATATAAAAGATTCATCTTGGAAAATATGTGATCCAAAAGACATACAGACAATAAAGGATAAAATATCTGGTGGCAACCATGGATCCAAAATGATTTCATTTTCCTTAGACTGAGACTTTGGTTTGCCATTTGGATTTAAAATTTGAAACAACCCTCATTTCCTTCTAAGTTAGATAATGCAAAGGAGAAATGTGTGTATCTGGAATCAACTAGTCGATGGTACGAACTGCACACAAATACCTCTTCCAAAACATGCAACCACTGAGAGAGTTTCCTAAAATTCCCGGGTCCATAGTTTGAATCGAGATCCATGATTTCAAATTTCAATGCTATCATATCCCTAATATTTTTTTTTTTGTCTTTTTCTTTTTTATCGGTACCGGGGATTGAACTCACGACTGCCTGCTTACAAGGCAGGCGCTTATGCCGCTGAGCTAAATCCCCAGCCCCAATCATATCCCTAATAGTTTTGAATATTAATATTTGATGTATAGCAAGCTGAATACAGGTTAAAGGTCAGCCACATGTGGTGCTATCATACTGAATTAACTAACTGGGTTGGCAGTCATATTAGAGAAGCTTTCTACAATACTTTAATTTCATGCCAGTGTTCCCCCCAGAGCACCACCATACTGTGCATGCCAACTTTCAATGCATCCCAGAGTCTCACAGATTCTCCTTCCAACCACTGCTCATCAGCTTTTCTCATGAATAGCACCATACTTCTAGCCACCCATATCTCTACAACTACTTTCTTAAAGTCTGGTTATTTCTGCCTTATTCTTCCGTTCCCTTGCTCAGCCCTTTCCAATAAATTACTATTCTGTAGCCCGTGGAACAAAATTTAAGCTCCTTACAGTAGTCAACAAGGCCACGCAATCTGATGTGCCCGTTACTCCATTCCTGTTTCCCATCACCCTAGCTCTTGTGAGCTAGTTATCAGTGTTTTGCCTTCCAGCTCAAATCCTCCTTTTCTCTTGCAAATAAGCCTGTCTGAATATCCTCTCAACTCTTCCTTCGGAGACCTGTACTGATAATACCTCCAAGATCAGTCTGAGGAAGTGTAACACCATCAGTTCGCATCTCTGACCATCTCCTACTCAGCATTCACTACTCTCCCCCTCCTTCAAGCCCATTTCATTTCTCTTTCTTAAAAATATAAACATCATTTAACCTACTCTTCTAAGCCTGTTGTTAATGCCAAAGACAATAGGAATCCTTTTTTTCCAATCTGGATTTATAACGAAAAGACAAAGTGTGAGGTTGGCTGGCTATCAGCTATGTAATTTTCGGTCTTCAAGCCTTCACAACAGGCATCTGGCTCATTATAAGAGGCTTGAAGACCACCATTTCCTTGATAAGGCTTCTATGATGAAGGCAGATATTAGTTTCACAGAATTATTTTTCTCCCTTTAGACTAGCTGTAGTTATTATTTACCCTTTATTTTCTGTCCCTTTGAGAACCCAATATTTCTAGTTATTAAATGAGAAAGTATTATAAATTACTTCAAATCCTTACAGCCCTGTCCCACAGATGCCAGGGGGCACCTCTCTCCCATGATTACCCCAAGGATAGCAAAGAGAGGACAGGTAAAAACACACCCATTCTAGGCTTCCTAAACCAGGTTTCCAACGCTGGAGCCCAAGAATCTTTATGTCAAACAGCATCCCAAGGTATTCCTTCAATATTTCTAATCAGCTTGGAAGACAGTGGTCCTGGAGAAACTTGAAGTTCACGATGTCTGCTCTGTTAGGTCAACATCGCAAGCAATTCCTGCCTGGAAATGCTATGACTGGGCCACACTGACAATTTCCTTCCTGAGGGCTGCAGAAAGGAAACTGTGAGTCTGTACACATGGTTTATTTGAAAATAATTAAAGACCGTGTAGTCAAGTCCTGTAGATCTTAACAGCTTTCTACAGGGGCTGTCGGTTCCTCGGGTGGCAGGCTGTGAAACTGTACTGACTCATAAGGAGGCTGTGATCAGAGACAAAACACATGTCTGTAACCTGTGCAACCGAAAACTGCTGAGTAAATTCACATTTCCAGTTGCTTGACATTCCATGGAAACAGCGACAAATTGACAAGCCATTCTGCTCCAAATGTTCACACACTGAAGTACCTACGTGTAAGGAGTTACTGAAGTATGAGCCTACGCCATTGTAATGGAGCTGTACTGTTCTGAATAGTCACTAAAAAGTGATCAATTGGTTTCATTTAGTACATCATTATCAGACGTAATTAACTAGTCATAAACTGAAGAAGTCATTTTAATTAGCAAACTAATTAGTATGTGAGAGAAATTTACATAACTAGATCAAAATGGTATGGGGGAAGCTCAGTATAGGACACAATGGAAAAATTATTTCCAGCCCTAATATTCTAGAATACTGTAAGTGATTTACTTTAAGTAGAAAAAATGGAAATTTCAAGAAGGAATCTAAATAGAGCTTTTCTGCTACATGATGTATGTAAAAATAATAAAGAAAAAATAGATACAAAATATTAATGATGTTTATATATACTGGATGGATTCATGGATTTCTCAGTATTTTATATATTTAAAAATATTTTCTAAGTATTTCACGTTTGAAGGCTACTGTTCCAGAATAGCTGTTACCTCTTTCTTCTCCCTTTTTCTCTCTCTTCAAATAAATCATCTCCTTAGTTAAAAAGAAATAAAAATGTTTTCTATAATTAGCATTATACAAAATTATATTAGTACAATAAGCACTATTACGATGAAAATGATTTTCAGAAAATGTAAGAATTGGTTTAATGTATTTTCCAAGTAGTGATATCTTTGGGAAACAAAATTATTACAAGTGTTGGAAGATGCCAGAAAAGAACACGAAAGGCAAATAAGAACCTTGGAAATGACAGACAATCTGTAGAGGCAGAGAACTGTGGAAATCAGCCTTGACCCTGTGCAGCTTTTAATGAAGCATAAATTAAGTCTCTGCATATGGTAATTAAAGATGAAATCTCACTCTAATTTAAAAACTAGCTACCTGTTCATCGATTGGCAAGAACAGGGAAGAATAATGCTCAGGTCAGTAAGGGTCAGAGTAAAAGGCATAGTGAATCAGATTTGTTGGATATAAGCAGACAGCTTCTGTTGCTAGGATATTTATACTGCTTTGTTGTTACAGTTCTCTTTTCTGGTTAATACAAGAACTCCACCAATAAAGACACATTAACATTAGCATTTTCTGAAAGGTCTACCTTGTTCATAATTTCCATGGCAACCAATCACAGTAGCTAGGAAGAGAGAAGACTGAACTCATTCTCCAAAGTGTAACTGACTCACGTCTAATGCACACATGTAGATGTACCCAGTCTGTGGGTGACTGCATGCATACATGTGTAAGAACAGTGCATATTCATGTAAATACCCGCATGCAGTAATGTCACAGAACAAAATGCAAAACAAAGTTCTTCCTCTAATATGAATTTTGGATATTTTAGTTGGCTTGTTTTTGTAGGCGAATCAGATAGGAACCATTACAATTTAGGATTTTTTGGTCAGAGAAAAAACATTATTTCCTGTTTATATCTGTAACTTTATAATGCTTAAATTGACAAGAAAAAATGAATATAAGGTCATGGGTAGTTTAGAGCTTCAAGATTTTCTCTTGATATTGGTTTTTATAATTTTTTAAAAAAATGTCAGGTACATGCATGGTAGTTGAAATAAATGATGGCTCACTTTTATCCAAAATAAAATTAAAATTTTTGGAATTTGTATAAAATAGAATCAGTGGAGGAAGGTTTAATAATAGATGATAGTGATTTCATCATCATTATTTTTACCGTTTGCCTATTTGTCTGTT